CCCCCCGGGCCCTTCTCCGGAGCTCCTCCCCGCGGGGAGGGGCGGGGAGCGGCTCCAGGACCTTCCCTCCCTTCCCTCCTTCCCTGCCCAGGCCCCAACACGTTCGAGGACGCCGGGAATTACATCAAGACCCAATTCCTGGACCTGAACATGAGGAAGGACGTGAAGGAGATTTACAGCCACATGACCTGTGCCACAGACACCCAGAACGTCAAGTTCGTCTTCGACGCCGTCACGGACGTGATCATCAAAGAGAACCTCAAGGACTGCGGGCTCTTCTGAGCCCGGGAAGGTGCAAAACCGGGAATGGGAATGGCGGGAATGGCGGGAAAAGGGAGGGGAGGGGAGGGGGGAATGAGCGGAGGAGGCTCCAGCCTTAAAGGGGTGGGGGGAGAGGATGAGGGTGAGCAGAGCTGGGGATGAGGGGGATCATCCCACAAAAGGGGCTGGGGGAAGGAGGAGCAGGAGGAGGGGCAGGAGGAGGGGCAGGAGGAGGAGGAGCAGAGCTGGGTCCATCCCAGAAGAAGGGCTGGGGATGAAGGTGATCATCCCAAAAAAGGGGCTGGGGAAAGGAGGAGAGGGAGGAGGAGCAGGAGGAGGAGGAGCAGGAGCAGAGCTGGGTCCGTCCCACAGAATCCCAGACTCGTTTAGGATGGAAAAGACCCCTGAGACCACCCAGTCCACCCTGAGCCCACCCCTTGTCCCCCAGCCCAGAGCAGGTAGTGCCATGTCCAGGCCTTCCCGGGACACCTCCAGGGATGGGGATTCCAAACCCCCCTGGGCAGCCCCTGCCTGTTCCTGACCACCCTTTCCAGGGGGAAATTCCTCCTCATGTCCCACCTGAGCCCCCCTGGCACGCTCTTCCTGACCCAGGAATGCCAGGATTCCACGGGATGATGCCAGGAAGGGCCACCTGGGCACTCCCAGGTCCCCTTTCTGTCCCCTCCCTCTGTCCCCACCCGAGGAGCTCCAGGGGGTTGTTGTGGCCGAAGGGAACTCGGAGCGGTTGAAGCTCATCCCGTTGGATTCTGCCCATCCTCGGCATCACTGGGGTGAAGGCCGAGGGTGGGACGTGGGATTCTCCATCCTCATCCTCCTCCTCACAGGGATGAAGGCCAAGGTGTCCCTGCCCCTGGCTGTGTCTGTAACTCCCTGTTCTCTCCCCCTTTCCCAGGAACCATTCCCATCTCTCCGTTCTGCTGAGCAGAGCCAAAGGAAGAACCACCCTCTCCTCACGGCACCGCTCCCACTTTTTCTATGAGCGCCCCCAAATCCGCCTCCTTTCACCCCAAACTAGGAAGGGGCTGAACTCAACTTCCTGCTCCCTTTCGGGGCCATTTCCTCTTTTTTTTGTTGGTGTGAATTTTTCGTTTGTTTGGTTGGTTTGTTTTGTTTTGTTTTCCAAGGAAAACTCCCCGTTCTCAGCGATCCATGGGAGGTTTGGGCACCAACACGCGGCCAGGAATGGGAATACCGAGGGAATTCGGGAGGAAGGGATGGGAATTCCCCCCCTCCCCTCCCCCTGGCTATCCCTCCACAGCCCATCCCTGCCCTTGGATCGGGGCTGGAATGATCCAAGCTGGAATTCTGGGGGGAGGAGGAAGCTGAGTTCCCTCCCGGTGGCTCCTGGGAATCCACCCCCCCCAGCCCCTTTCCCGGGAATCCACCCCAGCCCTTTGGCAGGAGAAATGTGGGAATTCCTCAGGGCTGGGGGGGGAGGGAATCCCAATTCCAGCCCTGGGGAATGGGGCTGGATAAAGAGGAAATGGTTGCTCGAAACATTTTCACTCTGCTATTTTAGAGCTGCGGTTGCTCTCTCTGATTGTAAATAATCCGTAGGTGATCCCTGTAAATCCCTGGATTCTCCTTTTCCCTGCTCCCTGCACTGATTTTTCCAACCCCCCCCCCCTTCACTTCCAGCTTCACTTCAGTAGGAAAAACAACAATAAAGGAACGTGCATGAGTGGGGTGTCCTTCATTCCCTGCTTCCCAGAGCTTGGATCCAGGGGGGCTTCCTGTCCTTTTCCACCCATTCCCGGCTCTTGGGATCACCTGGATCTCCGGATCCCACCTGGGGTTGGGAATCCCACCCAGGGAAAGCAGGCAGAGCTCCAGGGAGCTTGGAAAGAATTCCAGAGGAGGGAGGTGCTGAGAGCCCCCTCCCTCAAGGGATTTATCCTGGAATTCTGAGGAAGTGTCCTTGGAAAGGTCCCACCTCCAGGGCTGGAATTCCCACCGGGATTCCTGGAATGTTGCAGCACGGGGAACTTCCCTGCGCCCAGAATTCCACCTCATTCCCAACAAAGAGCACAAGGAATCTTCCCCCTCTCCACACAACTCCCATGGAAGCTCTTCCCTCCCTTCTCCAGCAAAGTGGAAAAACAGGGAAAAATGGGGGTTTTGTGGGGGTTTTTTGGGTCTTTTTTTTTTTAATTATTCTCGTTTTTTTTATTATTATTTTTAAAACAAGGCTGAGAGGAACAAAGTTTAGGAAAGGGAAACAAAGGAACAAAAACACCCAAAATAACCTTAAAAAAACAGAGGGATGGGGGGGAACAAAGGAAGAGAGAGCTACATATCCAAGGGCTGGGATCAGGCTGGAATGAGGCTGGAATTGGGCTGGAACCAGGCTGGAATCCAAGGGCTGCAATCTGCTTGGAATGCCACTGGAATCAGGCTGGAACCTGCTTGGAATTGGGCTGGAATCCAGCTGGAAGCCAAGGGCTGGAATCTGGTTGGAATCCCACTGGAATCAGGCTGGAATCCCACTGGAATCAGGCTGCAATCTGGTGAGAATCCAGCTGGAATCCAAGGGCTGGAATCTAGTTGGAATGCCACTGGAATCAGGCTGGTACCCCACTGGAATGAGGCTGAAATCCTACTGGAATCCCACTGGAATGAGGCTGGAATTGGGCTGGAATCCAAGGGCTGGAATCTAGGTGGAAACTGTCCGGAATTGGGCTGGAATCTGGTTGGAATCCCACAGGAATCAGGCTGGAATCCCTCTGGAATCCAGCTGGAATCCAAGGGCTGGAATCTGGCCGGAATCGGGCTGCAATCTGGTTGGAATCCCGCTGGAATCCCATTGGAATCTCGCTGGAACCCCGGTGGAACACACAAAGATCCCGCCGTCCAGCAACGCCGGGAGGCTCCACCCCATTCCAGAAGACTCCACCCCCATCCCAGAAGACTCCACCCCCATCCCAGGAGGCTCCACCCCCACTCCCCAAATCCCGGCTCCCGGGCACGGGCAGGTCCCCGGGAATCACGGAGGTTGTGCCGACGCCTGTCCCGCTCCGGGGTCGCCGTTCCGCCATTCCCGGCGCCATTCCCGGCACTCCCTCAGTAGAGGCCGCACTCCTTGAGGTTGTTCTTGATGATGACGTCGGTGACGGCGTCGAACACGAACTGCACGTTGCGGGTGTCGGTGGCGCAGGTGAAGTGCGTGTAGATCTCCTTCGTGTCCCGCCGCCGGTTCAGCTCCTCGAACTGGCACTGGATGTAGGCGGCCGCCTCCTCGTACGTGTTGGAGCCTGGCACGAGCCACAGATCCCGGGATTCGGGCACCGTCGGGAATGGGG